TAAACATATGCTAATCTGAATATTTTGAGAGGACGAAGAATGACACTGGACTGCCCAGATAGAAAGAGTTATAGAGAGAGATAGAAGCAGTGCTTAAAAATTTGCATTCGATATCAGCGCTTGCTGATTACTTAAGTTGAATCAACAGTCAACGGTAATCTGGAACTGTTCTACTCTCTGTCCCTATTAAAGTCACTTCAATATATTCCATCTTCAATTTATCATATATACTTGATAATTACCCAATTACAAGTAATTCCCGTAATAAAAGCAAATCAATTGTTCAATTAAGGTAGACTTATGAAAAGCCACATACTTCAAATTTAAGCAACTTTTATGCAGCTCATAAAACGGGGAAAAGCTCTTCATTTTCACCTGACAGTCATGCACGTGCCTCTGACTCACAATCAACTGCAAATGCCGCACAATGAAAATTATATCTTTTATTAGCACAATGAAGTCATAAACATTTCAACAGTTAACCCTGGCAAAGTCAACAAGTCAGCAACAGCGATGAAATCTACAGTCGCACCCAACTCTTTTATACCCCCACCAACTCTCTCTCTCTCTCTCTCACTCTTTCTGTCTCTGTCTTTTTCCTGCACACTCACACACACATTCAAGCACTGGCACTGTGATAAGCGATCAAAAATCCACATTTACATGCAACGCTGCGAGTCGCTGGCGCAAGCGGAAGCGGAAGTGCAGCAGTAGCAGCAGAAGCGGCAGGAATAGCGCTAATATAATATCAAAAATGACTTCGGGGGCGTCGGCAAAAAGTTGCATCTGGTCACAAATCATCTTATGGTGTGTGGTGTGCTGTACACGTGATGCAACCCACTACTGAGCCAGTGTTGTAAAATGCTAACGAGCCCAGGCAAAACGACAAGCTTTGTTGCCCTCATCGTCCGCGCCGCTTTTGAGTAACTTTCAGACATAGCCCCTTGTTTCTGCTTTGTGGCCTGCAACTAATTTGGCTGCATTCGCCGTCGACGGCATCTTCATTTGCGTGGCTTAAATGGGGTGTTCCCGTAAACTGGTGGAACATTAGCAATTTGGAGTTTAATTTAGACTTATAATAGATGCTGTGAAATAAGTTTATTATCTTAATGAATTGCCAAAGATGTTCCAGAAAAATAATTTCAATTATTTTCAATGGTTGAATCAAACATAAATTGCTTTAAATATAATTTATTCTTTTTTATGTACATATCTCTATTTTACCAGACTAATTAATAAATTAATTCGTTTCGTGAAAATCAAAATTTTCCCAAATATTTATACACATAGAAAACATTTCAATACATATATAAAAGTTGTATTCTACAAACTAAAGATTTGAAAGGTATTAAAAAGAAACAAACTAATGCATTAATAAAAAAAAACTTATTTTTAATTTGCAATTTATACAAGCTTACACGCAACAAATGTGATTCGGAGTAGATATCACTTTCCAGCACAAATGATTACAGCTCACAGCACAATTGGGCTTTGAGTTTTTGGGGGCCAGCTGCAAGTTGCACCTTTGCCAGCTTCTGTAGAAGTTGCAGCTATAAAATTCCAATTTAGTCTGCATGCGCGACGACTTTCTTGGCAGTCAAATACGCCTCCAGCCCCTCGCCCTCTCTTCAACCACACCAACATTCACTCCGCCGGGCTTCAGGCTGTTGCCTCTGCTGTCTTTTGGCTGCTGTTTCTCTTTCTCGTTTTTGGTTTTTACTTCGACTGGTTTTCCACTTTTCGTCTTTTCCTTCTCGTTTTATTTCTGGTGCAATTTTATGTATTTTTATGGTAGGTTGCTGCCGCTGCCGCTTGGCCCGGAAAACGGAAACCGAAAATTGCTACTTATTATGTTACTAACTTTGTGTTGCAGCAACGTTGCGCTGCTCCCTACCACCCGTACCTCTCTCCCGCCTCATCCTGCTGCTTCTTTTGCTTTTGCAAACTCCGCAACTCTAGCTCAAACTCAACTCTTCTGTGCTGTTGTTGGCCCGTTTGGCTCGTGTGATAATGTCAGGTTTTGTTAAAATTAAATTGCATGTCTTGCTGAGTTGAAGTTAAATTATTGCCTCCAGCTTCCAAAGGTGTGGATATGCCTTGCTTTCCCTCTCTCTCTCGCTCTCCCTCTCTCTCTCTCTATCTCTACGCGAACTAGAGATGAAGTTACGCCTAGAGAGAGGGAAACCTTCAAAGAGTTGGAAAACCGTGAACGCATGAATATATCCTACTCTAAGTAGACTCTTACAGAATTTTTAGTACTCATCAGCAAATTGAGGATGAGTCAAAATTTTGGAGTAGTTTAGAGCAGGAATAAGCAATAGCACTTGCAATCGGACAAAGATTGTTGCTACACAAAAGTGTGGTATTCGAATATTACAACAACAGCCACAGAAAATACTTCTCAAAATTAAGTTGTGTGTGGTTTTTAACGCTTCAAAGAGTTTGCACAGTAATCGCAGTTCCGACATGTTAGGCAACCCTTTTGTGGAGCGCCTGGCCAATCCATTAATTTACCAAAACAACAACATTCTTAAAACGCCATTTGACGCACTCCTTTTATGTGATATATACATACTTTTTTGGCATTGCGGGATGTCTGAAAATATAAAGATTTTCGTTAGCTCCGCAAAGTATGCAACAGATTTTTTCTTGGCACAGACTCCGCATGATGCCAAACACAACAAACAAAATGTGTGGCAACACAATGAGCCTCGCTTCCAGGGAACAACCGCCGATTTTTGCAGGCGCCATCAGCGCCACAATGTATGTGTAGATTCCTGTTGTTGTTGTTGTTCTTCGTTTCGTTTCTTTTTTTTTTTTTTTTTTTTTGTCTGTTGTTGGGCACACGCTGTGATTTTTACCGGCATTACGAAATATTAACATCGCAAATGCTAAAAACGACACCGCATGTGGCGTGCATGGGCAAGAGAAATGGTAATGGAGTTAAAAATAGCGTCGGTTGCCATTGACGGGGGTAGGTGCGAGGTGCGAGGTGCAAGGTGCGAGTACAGCGGGGGGTACACGCATTTGCGTAACGAATTGGCACCTTAAAGCGCAATTTGCATAATAACTCAAAGCAAAGGACTGCCAGAGAGTAAAAAGCATAGTTGAAAACTAGTTAAAGCAAGAGTTGTCTGCAATAACGTTGAAAGATAGCGACTGCTCAAAATTTAAGAACAATATGGAATATTTCATAACAATATAAATAATGTAAAACCATATAAATTTAAGAAAATATATCTACAACTATATTTAAAACATGTTTTAAAATACGCTTAACTGCTTAGTTTTTATTATTATGAAATCTAACTTCACTGGACTCAATTTTTATAATGCAAAATTGTCTGCTTTTCTGCCATAAAATTGGAAACAATTTCCAATAATAATTTCTGAATAAACCATTCTGAATAAGCCTTTTGCAATCCATCGATTGAATTTAAGTTTCCACATTACATCTGATACATCTGTGATATAAGTGCAATAAAATGAAATAAATAAAGCGACATTACTTAAATGGCAATCAGACACGTTTGAAAATCCATAAAAGTGGAAATATGTTGCCAACTTCAGCACAGCAACACGCAGAACTTTCCGTACACATACTCACACGGAGTGAGCCTTACAACAAACACGTGCACTTATTATTTACCAAACACGTGCCAGAGCCAGAACAACACGTACTCAATTTAGAGCCAGACGATAGCAGAGTCCAAGGGGTAACTAAGCGGTTGACATTTCGAATAGAGCGACAAATATTGGGGCAGTTTTTACTACCCAGCAAAGGATACACCAAAATGGAGTGTTGTGCGCCCAAGGAAAATAAATTAAACTCAAATCAAAATATAACAATAATCCCAATTAACAAGAAACTCCAGTGTTCCGTGTTCGAATCAATTGAATTTGAATTTTTTCTTTTCAGTTATAGTTTTTCATTTTGTTAAAAAAAATTGTCGTATTAATCAAATATTTAAAAGGAAAGTTTTCGGCTTAAACAGGATCAAAACGAAATATCTATAATTTACAAGATATGTGGATTTTAAGCTTATGGATTTCTGTGAATATGAGAGAACAAAATTCGGACAGACGTATAGATAGACAAGACTATATAGATTCGGCTAGTGATGCTGAACGAGACTCTGTATACTTTATGGGGTCGCAAACGTTCCCATTTATGAGATGCAATCTTGAAAACAAAATTATAATACTTTTTACAAGGGTATAAAGACTATTGTCAAAAAAAAGTTTGAGGCACATCTTGACAGCATATTGAACTTATTCCATGATTTAGTTTAAAAGTACTTTTCTTATTTATTTGCACAACAAGAATTGTTTTGGCCTGCTGCAAAGGTCATGTGACACTCACACGTTGCTTATACGCCACGTGCTGCGGCCGGCTTAGCAAACCCAAGTCAAAACATTTACACACACATACACGCATGTCACACACACACACACACATTTCTGCATGTCCGTCTTTTGTGTCCTGTCTATTTTTGTCGGTTTGTTTCTGTCTCTTTTTTGGCTGCTGGATGTTGCTTCCGCATACGTGCAAAACATTCCTTGGCAAAGATTTATTATGGAGCCACGTGTTGGGCAGTTGCCCCACAAATGTAACAGGCAAATCTATAGATTTCAGTTATGTAGTGAGTAGGCAAGGTCAGTGTATAACTCTCCCATGATTTTGAAGACGAGCAAGTTAGGGGTGTTGACAAGTTTAGAGGCCAAGGAAAAGAGCGTACATTTATTGAATGCTATATCATAATTTAATTAAGTTTTCTTAAAAACAAAGTCTATTATAGGTAGGCAAAAGGAAATATTATCATATTATCTATAATACATAAGTAAAAATATAAGTTCACATTCAATATTATTCTATGTAATCATCTTCAATTAGATAAATATAAATAGATAAATATAAATAACTTACTTATTGTTAATCAATAGATGAAAGTGTTAGTTAATGTATCCAAAATGTATCGAAGCTTCTTTAGTTATCTATTCAAAATTCGTCGTACTCATTATTTATTGTTATCAATATATATATGTAATCAATATTGTAGTTTAAGACTTGAAATTTTACACATTCGATTTTGAATAATCTAAATAAATACCAATGTGTAAATATACTTAAAATTCACCCGCACCGGACAGCGCATCGGTTGAAGGATAATGCGAGCGGAGTAACATGCAGCGTTCCCTGTCCACAAACAGAGTGCGTCGCTTGAGCATGATCTCTCGCTCCAGGGCACCGCGAACGCCAACAAGTGCATCCTTGGTCTCCTCCGCTGATTTGAGCTCCTGCAGCATGGCCGTCACGCTGCTCTGGATGGTGTGCACCTCGTCGATGAGACGCTGCTGGGCAACGTCGCGGCAACTCTCGACATTGGGGCGAAAGCTGCGATTGTACATACGCGTCTGGGCGACCTTCATGGCAGCATCGAAGCTGCGAATGCGTCCTTGAATCTGTTCGATACGCGTCTCGGTGTCAGCGAGATCCTGCAGGACCCGATGCAGATCGTTCTCGTAGCGCTTGACGGCCTCCTGCGTGCAATTGATGCGCGACATGAAGGATTTTTCAACAATATCTGCCTGGGTGCGCAAGTCCCTGGCTCCGTTAAGGAGTATGGCATTTAGGGTGCTGCGCAGCGCCGCAGATCTCTGGCGGCACTTCTCACACTCGTCCAGCGTCTCGAGACTGAAGTGTTCCCAGTACTTTTCCGAAGACTGCTCCGGCGGCTGTCGCATTGCGCCCACATGGAACATGATCATTCGCGATGTATTGCTTAAGCCCAAATTTACGGTGTCTATATCGTATGCCTCCTGCTTGTCGCTCCAGTCGAACTCCAGCCGCTGCTTGGCCGCACGATTCTCCATTTGCTGCGCATTAAAGTCGTCCAATGTCTTCTTCAAAACCCTCTTAATTTCGGCTATCAGCGCCAGCTCATTCACCAGCTCCTCCTCGGTATGATCGCGCACAAGCTCCGAGTCCGGACGACCGCAACGCTTCTCAATGCACTCTTTCACTATTGACTCGGGCACACCGAGCACTACGAGTGTTCTGCGCAATCTATTGCGCTCCTCGTCTATCATAAAAACCTCATCCGTCATCGTCCTAATCGCAGTCTCCAACGTGCTCTTCCACTTGCAGATCACCTGCGAACGCTGCCTCAACTTGTCCGTTGTCTCGTTCTGCGTCTTGTTCACCATCGCTGTGAGTCGCTGATATTCCGTCGTTGAGCTGAAGCGATTTCTGCAGCAGAAATATGTTATTATTGATCAATTGATCAATTGCAGTTGAAAGATCATATAGCTTACTTATCGGCCTTATCTAGCACAGAGTTGACATATTGCACCGTCTGTTCATTTTTGGCACGCCATTCATTCGAGCTGTAGCGTGTTATCGAGTATCTATCGACAACGGGACGAGTGCCCGTTAGACCAGCCATCGGACTCCAGTCTACTCTGCCCGTGGCCCATGGTCCAATTGGTCCCATGGGTGTCATTGAATCCTTGTGAGGCAAATCGTCGCCAGGCTGGGGCAGATAACATGGTGGATTCTGCAGGTTATCCGCATCGGGATCAATCGAGCGCTGTGTCACAATAATCATATTCAAATTGTTATTCTATTATCATCCATTCAAGTACTCACTGCAAATTGCAGCTCCTCTGTTTTGAGCGGTCTTTGGGCCTGTTCCTGCTGTATGTCGAGCAGCTGTTGTTGCTGATTATCGACGTCAGCCTGCAGGTCGGTCACCATTTGATGGTGCTCCTGCGCCGGCTCCCCAGTTACCTTTTTCACGTACTCCTGTATCTCACGCTGCTCCTCGTCGGTGGGTGGCACTATACCCACGGGAGAAGGCTCATATTTGCGTCGCCTTATTGGCCCCATCTCAGGTGGAGGGGCACAAATCAATGGTGCTGGACATGCTGACTTCGGATGAAGTTCAATGGTATCATTGATGCAGTCGCCGCCACCCGCATACAGATCCTTCTCCTTACAACACGCCATCTTCAAATGCTTCCACTCTTACAACAACAAAAAATTAATACTTTTGTGTAATCTCCACGTTTTTTTTTTTTCAACGTTTGTTAATTGTAACGAGCCAAACTTGTAAAAATTAGATTTTGTTTGAGGGTTGTAAATAAAGTGTTCAGGTTGCTTGGGTTATGAAATGAACTACGAAACATTGGCGTTGCTGGGGTTACTTTCACATTTTGTAATGGAGAACTAATTCCATTTACGAAGTTATACTTATTTCATGCTATTGTCAAAAAATTCCAATATATTCCATTGCATACCGCGAAGAATATTCGAACACAACTTTCGTACATATATTGCTCATAAGTAGTAAAAATTCAAGTATTTTAATTGGATTCCAAATAACAGAGAAATTTTATTAAAAATGTGAATTCCTTTTTGAAACTTCAAATTTATTTTTGAATGTCGATTGATTAATTTCGCTTACTTTAAATTTGCGAAAAGTACGCGTTCCTAATCCCTAAGAGAAGAATTATCTTTAAATTTTGTTCTTTTTCTTTTTATATTATTGGAATAAAGTTATTCCAACTTGCTTCTACAGGCATATCTAAAACACTTTTGTGTTACTTAAGAAATTTAATTAAAATATGCAAACATATTTTTGGCCAAGCATTTTCTAATCAAAGGACTAGGAGGAGTTTTTGAAAAATCTCCAACCAAATTCTTTGAATGTCTGGCAGCAACAAAAAAGCTAACCTTGGAGAGGAGCCGCTCAAAGGCAACAGCAAGATGCCTACTCTACACAGAAACACAAACACACACACACACACACTCACATGCATGCAATTGTAGGCTACACACGCAACACAATGCACAACAAGGAGCAACAACAATGGAGCTTAGCTCTAAGCTGAAATCTGGATAACAAAGTAAATAATACAAATTCTCGCAATTTTTCTGTAATTAACACATCCCCAACAAAACAGCTGGCAAAAGGCAGACACACACACACACACACACACGCTTGAGTGGGTGTTTATATATGTGTGTGTGTGTGTGTGTGTATGAGTGTATATTAGTGTTGACTGAAATCTTGACAGGATTGCGTGCTGCAGGCATGATATGAGAGCCCTCTTTGGGGGAGCATGGAAGGAAGGGTGTTTGGTTTTTTGTTGTTAAGCGTATGCTGGCAGCATTTACAACTCATACAAAAGTGTTGTCAGCTCGCATTTTTATGAGGTGTGTGTGTGTGTGTGTGTGTGAGAGAGTTTGTGTGAAAGGACATGCAACCTGTGTTTGTTTATGAGCTCATGTCAAGTTTAAGTGGCGTCTCTCAGCGTCGCTTGTCGTGTCCCTCCCGCTTGGTTCAAATGCCAAATTGGCACGTCACTTGCATTGTCTTTTGTTGTGTGTTTAGTGTTTGCAATTTGTTAGCGGACAAGTGTGAAAAAGGGCAAGAGCATAAGCAGCGTGTAAATCATGTAAAAAGCAATTAAAACAAAACACCAGCTCACTCAGTCCCCTCTCCACAGTCCCTCGTCACCTCTACAAAAATTATCATCATTATTATTTTGCATGTGTAATCAATTGAAGCGAAAATCTGACAGGAGCAGCGGACACAGCACTGATAAAAACAGCACAACAACAACAGCAACCATAGTAACTACGATAATAATTATTTTATTACAAAGATTGAATATTGATTGATGAACACGCTTAACAATTGTGACATTTATTCATGTTTGCATTCATCCGTTAAGACCCATAAATTAATTGATATAAAAATGCCAACGACTCATGTCTATTAAGTTCCACAAAAGAAAACCGCCACTACAAAATATCACAACAATTCATCGATAAATTTATACATTAAAAAGGAGTTTTAATGTAAATTGTTTGTTTATATATAAATTAGCATATACATGATCGAATAATCGCTTTCCATTTCATCTGACTGACAAAAACGATATTCCATCCGAATATTAAAATTTAAGTTAGCTTGCCAGAAAGTAATTTTCAGTAGGAATACATTCGTCCTGTTAAAATAAAAATGAGTTTTAATAATCTTTCGTATACTCAAAAAAGCCGAGTTGGTCTATCTTTCTGTATGTCTGATGATGACAAAAAAAAAAAAAACCTTGAGTCAAAGTCGTGGCAAGAGAATGTTTAGGACATTGTTCTTCATGGCATTCTTTAAATTTGTATCGAACAATCAATGCTTATCAATTTTGGCTTAGATTTATTTGCTCACGCCATTCGGCTTAAACTTCTTTTGAGCCTGTTCAGTGTCTCCGCTTTTGCTGTCTATTTCCTTTTAATTGTCCTTAGCTGTGCTTTTGTATTGTGGCATTTTTATGGTTGTTGTTCTCATTGCTGTTGTTGCTGCATTCCTTTGCTGTGCTTTGGTTTTCATTGGTTTTCGTGGCGCGTAAATAAATTTCATATCATGACATTTATTACTGACCCTTAAGCTTGGCAGCCCACAACAACAAATCCCATACCAATACATTCCCATATTTATGTTTGTGTGTGTGTGCGTATGTATGAAGGCAAGCAGATTATGCCGCATACCCCGAAGGATCTGGCATGATCTGCATGCGGCGACGGCGGCGGCGGCGGCGGCTGCGGCGGTTGGTTACATTTTTCATTTAAGATTTGTTTTTGCTCGCTGTTTCTCGACTTTTTTCTTTGGTCCAGCATTTTGATTTATTTTAGCACTGAATGGGACTGGGCGTTAAGGGGCGTGGCAGCAAGAATGTGCGAGCAAAAAGCAGAGGCAAACAACAGCCAAGCAAATGAATGAGGCTCGCACCGAACGAATGCGAGTGTGGGCGAACGAATGTGAATGAGAATGTGAATGAATGCAAAGATAAAGATTAAATGTAAGTGGACGACACAGCAAACAATTGTAGTTAATTTACGCGCACTGAAATGCATAAGAAATTAATGAAAACGCAAAAGAAAATGAAAATGAAAAACAGACAAAAAATATATATATATAAATAGGTAAAGAATTGTGAATTTTTCTTGAGGCCGGCGGCACAGTGAGTATCTTTTAAAGTTAACTTGACTGTGAAATAAGCTGAGCAAACAGCGAGCGCATTGTCTTTGTCCCATCTGAATAATTTATTTATGTTTTCATCTTTTCAGCAAGCAGACCACCAAGGCCCCCTGCCGTACACCCCCTTCACGTACCGCACAGAGCCAAAAGAAACGGCAGTTAATAGCGGAGAAAATGCGAACAATTCCGCCTGAGCAAATAATTACAGGGCTTAATAACAAATTTAATATTGTTTGGGCCAAGGCCGCATCAAGGCCTTTCTTTATGCCTTTTATTCTTATATTTATTTATTTTTTAACACCTTACACACCCCCTCTTGACTTCGCTTAACTGTTGATTTTCTGCTCATACGTTTTATGCGTTTTAATGAGTCTGTTGCACGTCCGTCACAGCCTTCCCACCCCTCCCACTCGTCCTGCCTGTTTGCGTTTCATAAAAATAAGCATGTCCTGCCATTGCTACTTGCATCCTTATGGCTTATGCGCTGACCCTTTCAATTGTTGTTCATCCAACCGTCTCCAACCTGCCTTGTTTGCAGCTTCAAGTTTTCCGAAGAGCTGTTGGCCTTGCAATTAGTTGTTGCAAGTTCGAAATTTTAGTCTCTCGTCAGTTGACTTCTTTCAAGCTGCAATTGCCGTGTGTAAAAGTCTTCAGAATTTCTGAACAACAGCTAATTCAAATCTTCAATGTCTGCAGAAACTCTAGAAATTGTAAGCAATACCTTAAATTAACTTATATATATATATAGATATATATATATAATTATATGCTATTCAGTAACCATTGTCATTTGTGTCAGTTTTTTATTTTGCTAGTTTGGTGTATATAATTGAAATTGATTTGTTCTGATACTCTTTCTCTAAGACGACACTCGTGAAACTAAATTATTCGTTTTCTACAAAAGTGGCTAGAAACTTTCTTTATTAATCTGGCGTGGGCATAAATAATACGATAATAACTAATAATGGGTGAGTGTACAAAAATATATAAATTTTCCAATGTGACATTAAACTTCTATTTTCTGACAACAAAATAGACTATTCTCTGAATGAAAAACCACTAAAATTGAATCCTCCACTATTTGTACCTTGTGATTTGGATGAGTTTCGTGACCCTAACAAAGAACATTCCGATGCAGCATCAGAAGCCTGTGATGCATTAGATAAACTGAGTGCACAGGATGAGATCAGTGTGTCGAGTATTATCTCGGCATTGCTGCGACCCATCGAACCGTTAGATGATCAGTATAAACAATGTGATTGGGGCATCGATCCGAAGAGCTTTCTGCCCGTCAAACAGGCCGTCATATTCAAGGAGCAGTTGTTCATCTCGAAGCTGCGCAACACGAAATGTAAGCTGAGCGAGAATATCAAGATTTTCTTTGAGCGCGAGCTGCAACAGATCGGCAAATTTTGCATGAACGTGGAGGAGGCCTTCGATGGGTATGTGGTCTACAGCAGCAGCAAGATGAAGAAGGACAAGGGCATAACCGAGTGCGGACACCAGCTGAAGGGCAAGTACGACGATCACTTTCAGCTGATCTGTGAGAAACGTTCCGAATTCGATCGCATCGATCATGGGCACTTGGAGAAAACGCTCGAAGTGCGAAACCATGCGGATCTCCACCTGACGGCTATACGCGAAACAAAAATCAATGAGGAGATACAGAAGTTCAAGGCCACCATTGATATCAAGGATCGGGATCATACCTTCGTTCTGGACGGTGGCATTCAACTCCTCATGCGTCATCTCATCTGTCATAATTTTGTTGGCAATTTCGAGTACTACACGATGAACTTGTATGGTCGTGTCCTACGCTGCAATCTACTGGTGCACAAAGACCGCAAACTGGTGCGCATCTTCTATCGCACGTACAAGAATACCGTTCACATCATCACACAGCAGTGCTTCAACGATGAGCTGCAGGATGTGGCCGAGACCTTTATGACGCCCGAGGGACGCATTGTGCTGCACTTCTGGCGCGGCTACAACTATCTGCTGCACGCCGTCTGTGCCCCGCCCAAGAAGAAGGAGACAATCGTGCCCAAGCTGGAGCTGATGTGGCGACAGAATGTCAGTCTCACCCGAAAATTCCATGATCTCAAGTCCCTGAACTATGAGAATACAACAAACTTTCTCAAATCCAATTCCGAATTAGCAGATTTCATGCAGGATTACGTGATAAATGTTCTGCGCTATAAGCCCACAAATGTACTCGAGTTCTCCATTATGTTTTTTCAAAATATGTCAGCCACCTAGATTATAATGTAATAGTATCGAAATAGTAAATACCTAGCTAAGCCGTATATTACACTTTTTAATGTATCGCATCTGCCAGCTGTTAAACCAAAAAAACGAACAATGAAAATGGTTATTATGTCTTATACACTTTTTATAAACTATAAACATCAAATTTAAACACTTTTTGACTTAACCAATGTTAAATTTAAATTTATTATGTTCTTGATCAACATAATTCGATTATACATCATTTATCCGCTGTCAATCCTTTTCGCTCCTTCCTTTTTATATTAGCAATGACCGTCATATCAGCCATTTATTGCATTTATCCTGAAATGTTTCACTAATTAGCAATAAGCTGCTTTAAACTTAGTTGCATCCTCTCACTTTTTTTTTGTGTACAGCTTTCCTTTTTTGTGCTTTGGCATGGATAACATAACGTTAAATATAATCTGGCACCAGGCAGGCGTCAGCTAATTAAGCGCGTTGAAAAGAAGCAAAGCCAAGGGAAAGGGGCTCGCCCAAACCAAGACCACCTCTTGGGTTGGTGGGTCAGTGGGTCGACTTATTGAGCTCAGGTTAGTGGATGGTGGAATTTTTGCAGGCTGCCACCTAATGAAGTTACCACAAAGTGAAAGGCGTCCAGACTACGTAGCAGGCGCTAATTAATTAGCGCCGTATATTTTAAATAAACTTTTTTTTCTCACTTTTCTTTTATCCTCTTTCTAGCGCATGTCTATACAATGTTGGTCACTGGCTAATGAGCCGGGCAAAACGCAAATTGGGTCACAAATTTCGCGATCTGAATTAATAATAATATTAAATTCCCATATAGACTATTTATGTTGAGGGTTGATTTGACTGATTTGCATAAACAAACGCCAGATGGCAATTGAAATAGAGTAAGGAAACTTTGCACAATTATTTTAATATGTCTGTAACGAATTCAACAAAACTGTTTTACCTTCTACCAAAATCAATAACCGACTCGCTATGGAAATTGCAAATTTATGCATATTTCTTTTGTTTTTCCAAAAATTTTGTGCAATGCAAAGTAAAATTATTACAAAAAAAAAAAAAAACAACAACAAGAACAACAAACAACGAATCATGAGCTAAACAATAAACTTTTAACAGCGAATGTGCGCAACGCCACTTGTTTTCTGGCTCTCCAGGAGCACCTGTTCCGACAACACCAACAATAACGAGAATACAAAAATATTACAACACCTTGAGGAAAGTTTTTCGGTTCGTTGTTGCTGTGCCTGCAGTTGGTGTTGAGTTTTGTTTGCTTGTCAATGCACAACAGCAGAAACAGCAGCTACAATAACAACTCAAACAAAATATTAATAGGAAGAACCTGAAAGTCGAGCAACTGATAATACTATCTGCCATTGCATAATTTAATTGAATTGAATTGTAAAACAATTTGCATTTTATAAAATAAAGTTTTTGTTTTTGCATTTTGAGCAAGGGCAGACTCAGGTGCAAATAACTGCTAGTTGGATGTGGAAAGTGGCAGCTGCTTGAAGCTTGAACCAAGTGATTGAGGCAACATGTTATGCGGCAACTTATCATCATTATCATTAACACAAAATAATGTTGCAGGCGGAGTTGACATAATACTCTTACATAAATACGTGGCCGACCTTTGAATGAGTTTATCAAGCGTATGCTTTCCAAATTTTGTTGACCATAGAAGTATCGGAAATCTATAGATTTAATAAGTACACACTTCGAGGCATCTCGAGCTTTTATTGATTTGCCAACGTTTGTCTAATGCAAACATGAATGAGTATATATTTCAAGTCATAAGTCCTTGGGGCTTTAAAAGCTAATATACTTTACTTTACTTCACATATAAATTGAATTGAAATTAAATTTCAACAGCATTAAATATATAAACAAAATCTTTGTCACGTATAAAAGGTTATCAGATTTTAAATTAATAAAATTATGTAAATACTGTACATCTACAAATATTTTAAATTATTCAATTTGCATTTTTTCTTATATTAAACTTAAACTTGATTATTTAAACGCACTCGAGTAAAATTAATTTGAAATATTTAAAATGTTCTCTGCATTGACTAAAAATCCAAGCTAAGAATACAAAAAAAAAATTATATTTATAGATAAATAAAAGAAGAGTATATTAATAGCAAATGTTTATGAGTTCGGAAACTGCAGGAGGAGAACTTTCCGGCGTAAACCACTCAAAGGTGTAAATAAATACGCCGCCCGCAAAGGTAGGCAACGCTTTTTGTTTGCTTAGCCTGTGTATATGTTTATATAGGACTTTGCCATCTATCTATGTGTGTGAGTTTGTGTGTGTATGTGTGTTAATTTGCCAACAAAGACACGTACCGACATGCAAACACTATTCAAAACATTTTGCTCGAACTCAAAGGCATTTGCTCAATGTGTAAGGGTGAATGTGTGTGTGTGTGTGTGAGTGCATGTGAATGTGAATGTATTCATGTGCGTTTTGAAGTGTACGTGTGTGTTTACCCAGCCATTGCTATTAATTTGTACACGCTGTGTAATAGCTCTGTCAATATTTTACAAAACATTTTCCAAAAAGTGCGACCAGCAAGTGTTGTAAACTGACGCCTAGAAAAATAATGTTAACGCTTATACGAGGAGCAAAGTAGGATGGAGTACACAAGAAGATGTGTGTGTTGATGTGTGCTTAGAGTTGAATGAGGATTAACAACTAAGAATCTAGTTGAATGTTACCTTAATACTTAACAAAAAGGAATGAATTGTACAATCAGAAAAGGCTGAGTTATGATCAAAAATGTTCTTAACGAAAAATTATGATTGATACTTGATAATACTTTACTCAAGTTCTTTAAAAACACTAATACCCAAGATGAGTAGACAAGCATATTCCATATTTTCTATCATTATCACAGGCTCAGTTGCAGGAAGCAATTCGAGTAATATGCCTCAAAGTTTTTATAAAGAACGGCCGGCCTTACGCAGTGCCCATTGAAAGACAACCTACAAAACTGCAAACAAGCCCTCAGCGTCCTTTCTGGTGCATCAATCAGTGTTGTAAAAGACTCCATTGTGCGTTAACAAGTGGCACGTTGCCGGATTGATCTCGGAACATAGAAACAGGGATGTGCCCAGGCACCGACATAAGTATGTCTATCTCCTGCGCCTTTCCATGGCATTTCTCTCTACCCATCTCTCTCTCTCCCTCTTGGGTTTCCAGTGTGTGCTGTCAAGTTGTACGTTGATGTTGCCACTTGGCGGAGTAAGCCAATGACACCGTGTACGGGCTGGAACGACAAAAGATTGAAGAGCTGCAACAGCAGCAGCATACAAGTCATCAGGCCATGTTCAGGAAGTTAGTTAGGCGGTCCCAACGACCCCACAAGGAAAGTAACCATCTCTCTGCCACAACAATGTCATTCAGAGGCAAGTTGTTCTATGGTGCAGGCCAGTCAGCCCACGTCTCCCCTAACAACCTTTCCCTTAACGTCTCTTAAAGTTGACCAAACTAAACTGGGGCACAATTTCATGTGTCATATTCGGGCTAGTTTGTATTCGAACATATCTGCGTTTTTAAACAGTGTTCACTATTATTTTAAGCAGAGAGAGAGGCAATCGAGTGTTACTTTTGGGCTCTTTAAGGCACTAAAACTAAAATACAAAACAAAAATGTATGAAATTATTACTATTCCAATGAGAAACTTGTATGCTCTTTAACAAATATAAAAATGCCGATATCAATTTTAGCTCTTATGTAATACCATAGTTGACAGTGTATTTTAAAGACAGAAAATGTTGTTGTCGTACATAATAAAAGTACAGAATAGAATAGAGGCCAACGTGGTAGATAGTAAAAACCAACGACTTTCTCCTTAGGGCAATTTACTGGCATTCTCCCAGGATGGGCTCTCTTTCAAAGGCGTATTTAAAATTTCGATTATTTAGGCTCATCTATCATCATTTCGCAATTGAATTGATAATTTGTTTTGCACTATGAGCTCATTAGTTGATGGTATTCCCAGAAGTATACAAGTTTATATAATATGGTATTTTTGTTTGCTTATGTGGCAAAAGTTGTGTGTGTTAAAATGAAATTCATTGGTATTCAACCCGAGTTGGCCACGATTATATTTCCGAGAACTCACGAGAGTAAAGCTGAAAATAAATGCGTTACACATACAGGAATAATTTTATATTTAGTAGCAAAACTAGTCATAAAGCAAGCTCTGCTGTGGTTAGACCTCTTATCAACATTGTCTTAAAGCTGTACTTGTGACAATAATCCATACCAAATACTAAAAGTTATTATTTTATTACACCGAAATGTACATAATTGTGGACTAAATAAATACTTTTGCATGTGTTTATAAGTTTAATATACAACATTTATTTTTAGGTGAACCCATTTGCAGGTTGACAGCGAATGGAAATTGTAAAATGAGATTGTAATAATGGTTAAATCAACAGTTTTGGCGAAGGTGCTATTGATATGAGGACAAGCCTACCAATTCATGTCCCCAATTTCTACAAGTATGTATAAGTAACGCAATCATTTATATATACATATATATAGCTTAAATTTGCATATTCACAGAAAATTGCGTAATACGCTGAATGGAATGATATAGCGCTGCTGATACTCCGACTTCCTCTAACATACACCCATCACATAATGCCCATTTGTATGCCGCGGGATCGCGAGCTCTTCGCAGCGCTGCTTTGTCTTCAGTCTTTGTCTTCAGTTAGAGATTATATTCATTCATTTGAACAGTACTCCTTAAAGGAAACAGAAAATATTTATCCGTCTGAGCTGGGAATATTCACAATTGCTAACAAATTGTTTTATTTCTTCAACAGAACAGCATATTGTGCAGTCCATTGCAATTACTCTACCAAAAAATATCTTTAAGCTTGCTTTCCTTACCACTAACAGAAATATGTCAAGATAGTTATTCTACAAATTCAAAACTCATGTATTGTTGCTCTTAAAATAAGTCATTTAAGTTCTCCACTTACATTAAATAGATTTTACCTCTCTAAGCCAAATAAACGGAAACGCATGCTTGTAT